CATTCTAGAGTGGCATCTACTGTCTGAACGTTCCATTTCAGTGGCTGGCAGTTCTCTTGTTTGTTGGCAAGGTCTGTGCTCATAAAGGAGTTATATAGTGTCTTGACACCGGCAGCAACTGAGACAACCTCAAGGTCTCTGCTGGTTTGCAAACCTGCAGTAATAACAGAAGTGCCATGTAAGTACTCTTCATTGTATTGTCATTTCTTACCAGCATCAATATATTTTCTGTATACAACAGCCAAATACAAAAGGAAGGAACATGGATAGAATTTAAATAAGGCTCAGTAAGAGTTATGGAAGGTAGTCAATGTGATCATATTTCAGACACGTGGCTGAGTGGAGCTCGTATCGCTCTTCTCTCTAGCGCTGGGAGAGAGCAGAGAGAGAGAGAGAGAAGAGAGAGAGAGAGAGAGAGAGAGAAGCGAGAGAGAGAGAGAGAGGAGAGAGCGCGAGAGAGCAGAGAGGAGAGAGAAAGAGAGAGAGAGAGAGCCGAGAGAGGAATGAGAGAGAGAGAGAGAGGAGAGAGAGAGCAGAGAGAGAGCGAGAGATCTATTCTCTCTCTCTCGCTCTCCTCTCTCTTCTCTCTCTCTCTCTCTCTCTCTCTCTCTCTCGAAACATTTGTTTACATTGCCAACACATGTAAAATACATAATAAAAATGAACAGTAAACATTACACTCGAAAGTTCCAAAGGAATAGTGACATTTCAAATGTAATTTGTATGTCTATATACACTGTTGTAACAATGTGCAAATAGTTAAAGTACAAAAGGGAAAATAAATAAACATAAATATGGGTTGTATTTACAATGGTGTTTTTCTTGTGGCAACAGGTCACAAATCTTGCTGCTGTGATTTCACACTGTGGTATTTCACCCAATAGATATGTGAATTGATCAAATATTGGATTTGTTTTCAAATTCTTTGTGGGTCTGTGTAATCTGAGGGAATTAAGTGTCTCTAATATGGTCATACATTTGGCAGGAGGTTAGGAAGTGCAGCTCAGTTTCCACTTCATTTTGTGGGCAGTGTATGCCTACGGCGGCCTTTCTCAATAGCAAGGCTATGCTCACTGAGTCTGTACATAGTCAAAGCCTTCCTTAATTTTGGGTCAGTCACAGTGTTCAGGTATTCTGCCACTGTGTACTCTCTGTTTAGGACCAAATAGCATTCTAGTTTGCTCTGTTATTTTTTTGTTAATTCTTTCCAATGTGTCAAGGAATTATCTTTTTGTTTTCTCATGATTTGGTTGGGTCTGATTGTGTTGCTGTCCTGAGGCTCTGTGGGGTCTGTTTGTGTTTGTGAACAGAGCCCCAGGACCAGCTTGCTTAGGGGACTCTTCTCCAGGTTAATCTCTCTCTCAGCTCTCTCTCTCTCTGTTACGTCTACTCCCGCTATCCCGCTTCGGCGCTCGATGTCACCAGTCTACTAACCACCGGTCCTGGCAACCCATCTTTACACACACCTGGCAACCATCATTACGTACATTACCTACACATGCATTATTCACAAAGACCACCACACTCCACAATAAGTACTCAATGGACTAGAGGGGACTATTGACCCTGCATACTGACAAGGTGCGTGTGTATGTGTTTGACGTGTGTGTGTTTTCTGCCTCCATGCATGCATGCCTATACGGGTGAAGGGTGGAACCATGAATATACATTACGACTGCTAGCAGAGGAACTAAGGGTTTTATGGATGGACAGGGAGACTGAGCAATTCATGTACCCAGTCCTCGTGTCAGGAACCCATGGTAAATCAAAGGTCTGAAGGCCAGCATGCCACTGCATCTTCCACAGGGAGACTGGATCTGCGTCCCAAATGGCACCCTGTTCCCTATATAGTGCACTACATAGCGAATCAGGTGCCATTTGGGACACAGACTGGATATTTATGATCTGTAAATCAACAATAGGCCTACACCAGGGTTCTTCAATTCCTGTCCTGGAGGGCCGAAACACCTCTGTTTTTCATCCTCTCCTTCTAATCAGGGGCTAATTCAGACCTGGGACACCAGGTGAGTGCAATTAACTACCAGGTAGAAATAAAAAACAGAAGTGTTTCGGCCCTCCAGGACCGGAATTGAAGAACCCTGGCCTACACCAATTACTGAATATCTATGAGATCATACTCCCCCCACCACCCACATGTTCATGCCTAAATCTTCCAACATCGAGATGACAGACAGGACTTGTTTGATTAGATGGAGTCTGTGGGCTGTTTGCTCTATCTTTTTATGGTCTCTTTGGCAGAGAACTCACATTTGGAGAAAATGTGGATATATATAAAAACAATTTAGAGGGAATTTTCACTGAATCTCTACTCATCTTAAGTCTGCCTCTTTTTCACCTAATCAAATTATCTTCTAAGATCACCCCCCCCCCCCCCCCCCCCCCCCCCCCCCCACCCCCCCAAAAAAGATTGCCCCATTTAAGATGTAATTTAAGGCCCCATATACTGAGGCAAAGGTTAAGGCCAAAGTTGTAAAAACGAATGATCTTGGTCCCTTCACCTTGAGGTCAGTTTAGTTAGCCCGTTAGGATCGTAAATGGAAAACATGGCTGCATTTTCAGCCAATGGATATAGATAGGAAGCTCAATGACAGGTCCTCGGTTGTGAGTGTTTGTTTGTTCTCTGTGGACTGTTATCTCCTAATGAACACGAACAGGTTCCCAATTAGACCTCTCTCGACACCTCAGTGAGTCATAAGCTGTGTCCAAAATGGCACCCTATACACTGAGTGTACAAAACATTAGGAACACCTTTTGCCCCCAGAACATGGACTCTACAAGTTGTCGAAAGCGTTCCACAGGGATACTGGCCCATGTTGACTCCAATGCTTCCCCCAGTTGTGTCAAGTTGACTGGATGTCCTTTGGGTTGTGGACCATTCTTGAGACACACGAAAAACTGTTGGAGTTCTTGACACACTCAAACCGGTGCGCCTGGCAACTACTACCATACCCTGTTCAAAGGCACTTCAATCTTTTGTCTTGCCCATTCACCCTCTGAATGGGCAAGACATGTCTCTATTGTCTCAAGGCTTAAAAATCCTTCTTTAACCTGTCTCCTCCCCTTCATCTACACTGATTGAAGTGGATTTAACAGGTGAGATCAATAAGGGATCATACCTTTCACCTGGATTCACCTGGTCATGGAAAGAGCAGGTGTTCCTAATGTTTTGTACACTCAGTGTATAGGCCACTACATTTGACCAGGGCCCATATTTAGGGAATAAGGTGCCATTTGGTACGCAGCCATACACTCTCCACAAGCATGCACCTTCAAATGTGAAGATGACATTTAATTGGCCCCTTGATATAAAACGTATTATTTTCTGAGGGTGGCGATGACTTGCTAATGACTGGATGGTGAGACTTGTCTCTGTCAAGAGGCCCCAGTGAGACATGATGATGGAGAATGAACGGTAGCCTAATGGCCTAATGAGAGGAGAGCTTTGACGTGACTGGTCACAAATAACATAATGGTGAGATAATAGATATTACAGGTAAAATAGCTCAATATTTTAGGTAAAAGACCTGAAGTAATCAAACCACCAGTAGTTTATAATCATATTTATTTGAGGTCATATTTTTTATGATACATGACTGATAATAACAATAGTCCAATTTAAGATGGTTCCAGAAATATTTTCTGCATGTTTTTCAGTTCATCCAAGCAGTCATTTCTGAAGTGCATCACATATTCTAGGTCTACATGCTTACATTTTAGGAAGATGTCTGCATTTAAAACTCATTAGCTGCTTGATTCCTGTAGATATGCTGTTGCTTGAAGAACATTAGAGACATCTACTGGCCATCAGTTGAATAATGTGAATGGATGGATAAGGTTTGTTTCAGCTTGGGTCTATAACATTTTATGACCTTAGAATTATTAATTAAATAGGCACTGTGCAAAAATCCATACAACACATACAAAAGTAAACTACTTGACACAGCTGAGAAAAACAGTGGCCCAGTGTTATTCTGATGAAGGTTGGCGCATTCATAGTATTGTTAGGTTCATGTTTCAGAGGGGTTATCTTACATAGATCTCTTACAGTCTCAAATCTATAATACAGATTAGATTCTTCTTTGATAATAGATAAGAAATGGGAGGAGCAGAAATAGATAGACTATATACTTTAAAACAACTTTATTTAGGGAAACTCCAATAGTAGCAGACATTTTACCCCACTTCATTCCCTCTCTGTCTGCACATAATGAGGATTTCAAGTCTTGTCCCAGTTCCATCTGTGACAGCTCCATCAATCTGAAGGGCAGAGATATGGCTGAACTAAGTACCGTCACTCTCCCCTCCACTTGTTGAGGAGACAGGAGATGTGTCCTAAACTGCACCCTATTCCTATGTAGTGCACTTATTTTGACCAGAGCCTATAAGGATCTATATAAGGAATAGGGTGCCATTTGGGACGTAATCGGGTGGAGTTTGTAGGTAATGAACCTTTATGATCCAGTTCATCAGTATGCTGAAGTGAACATTTATTCTGAGGGCCCCGGGCCCCAATCTGAGGGCCCCACTGTCTGGATCAGGATTGGGATGTGTGAGTGAGTGTGTGTGTGCGTGCATGCGATATAGGCTACTGGGCTGATTTACTGAGAGTAGCCCTGCCTTGCCCCACTCAAAGACATTACATTAGCATCGATCCTCCACTCCATCCCACATTAAAATAAAGCAGATTAAGAAAGTAGTAGGCTATAAGGCTAACCTGCCTATTGCCTAATGTATGATTATTTTTGTGATTAAAATAGAATGTCTGGCTTTTAATTTAATTTAATATTCTGAATATTAATTATACGAATTAAAGGTATATTATGATTAATTAATTGGGTCTTGCATTTGAGAGACTAGAACTCGCTCATAGACGTAAAGATTCCTGAAAGAAATACATTAATATCCAATGGCCACATAATTAATGAACACGTGATGCTGCTGAATAAACTACTCATCCCACAATGCTACACAGCTGTGGAGTTATTTTTTCCAACCACGTCGTACACCTACCCGCGGACAAAGTATTTTGATTGGTGTGGCTGCCTCCGGACGGTTGTTGGTAGGAAGGAAGTAGCCTACAGATTCTGACCGCACTCTCAGCTCAATACCGCCGTAGAAATGTGATGGATTAGAAAAATATGTGCCTCGGTTGTCAATATGTTCCCCGGCGTTTTCTATGCGCTCCTGGCGGGGTTTCTCGGGGCTGTCGCATCTTCATCTGCAAAGCTGTCACTTGGAGCCGATTACCTAAAAGGTGTATGTGAAACGGGGCTACGAACATGGGGAGAGCAGCGGAAATTTAGACAACCGGACGAAACTACCGCTTGTGACTGGGTGAGGAATCGCTGCAGTTTAAGTGCCTGAATTATTAACGCGATGGGATTCGGGTGGCTTTGAATAATGTAGATGTCAATGTGTTAGCAAAGCTAACGAGAAGGGAAGTTGTGGTTTTCCAGTGATGAGTTTAGGGGTCCTGATTCCAGCTCTTTCGCTCAGCATCATCAGCATCTCTCTCTGCTGGACAGGCGCATGTTGTGTCGTACACGCGTGATTGAACGACATTGCATTTCGTGCACTAGGTCGCAGTGTTACATCATATATTTTTGTGTTAAAGGAAGATATTTTCTTATATGTAGCCTATCATTTTATTCTAGCGGACGAATGTGATTATGGTTTAACATATGGGCAATTTTCCATTTAATGTTAATACCGTATTGTTAATTAGGCTGCTTGAAATGACCTTCATGACGTTGGGCACGTGGTGACATGATTTTACGGTTGAGTTATCAGCCATATTATTTATTTATATATCGTTAGGTAAATGCATGTTATATATATATATATCAAGACAAATAACTAAAATAGACCCCAAATCCCAGCTCAACTATTTGCAGCTCAACTATTTGATGTCTCAAGTCCAAAATAACGTTGTTTTCATTCATATTGTTTGTGTGTGTGTTTGTTTCAGCTACACATCCCCCTGAGGCTGCTTTGTGGGGGGCTGCTCTTCACCTGTAATGCTGTGATGTGGACGTTCCTCGCTAAGGCGCTCAGGTACTCTTCCTCCTCCACCCGAACTACTGTGACCACCACAGCTTCCAACTTCGTATCTTCCGTAAGTACATATTTCCCTGTGGAAAATACACTTAAAATTGCTTAGAAATTATGTATAGGCCTAATAGCCTATAAGGGTAACACATATTTTCCTTTTTAAGTGTTGTCAACAATACAGAGAAGTAAGTGTAATGACTGGTGCACTAAATTGAAATACCTGTATTGTGCCACAGGCCTTTTTGGGGCAACTTATCTTCGGGGAGACCCAGATTGCGTTGTGGTGGGTGGGAATCTCCCTCACATTCTCTGGCCTCCTGGTGCTTCAGAGGGCGGCCCCCAACGACAGAGCCAGGAAGGACAAATGACAACCTGTCGGAAGGCACAACTCATTAACTGATATAGAAAGAAACCAGTAATGTAACCTATAGCCTACTATCTGTGACAAACAATAGCATTTCTCGGGTGAATGGCTGTCGTGGCAAATTTGGAAGGTAAAGCACTGTCAAAACATACCTATGTAAGGAGCATACAGTGATTTATGGTTTGTAACACTTTGACATCATCAGCAATGTGTGCATGACATCGATACTTCACCATGCATACACTCAGCCTCAGATCACAAAAGCTTTATTTTGCTCACATATCCTAAGATGACACGCACTGTAAACTTCCACGCCAACATTGATCATTGCATGTTCAAGGTGATGTGTGAACCAAAGTGATAAGTCACACAAATGCTGCTACTGCTGGACATAAGCAAATACAGCAAACACAGATATTCTCATAGCTTATTACAGTATCATACATGATGTGGCTCAGAGAATACACTTCATGGCCTTGATAGGAACTTCTCCTCGGTTGTATCATGTTTATAGCCTCATATCTTGAGGGCTTGACCCTCACACAGAGTTTTGACATGTTTTGTGGATTCTGAGGTGGATTGGCCTTGCCTGCCTTTATAGCAAATGTCTAACAGAAAGTTCCTAACAAGGTCTAAACCCAAATAAGTCAAACCAAAGTACACAAATATGTTGATCCTGCCTGGTACCCACTGTAACCACAGCAAGTCTCTGTCAATGCAGTGTGAAGTCAAACTGCTAAGTGGCCCAAAAAAATCATACTGACCTTCTCAGCTGCCTGTAAAGTGATACGGTTTAGTTCACTCCAAAATCAAAATTTGTCAGACATTTTCAAACCTCAAAAGTGGTGTAATGTCGAGATGAGACAAACTCCAATGAATGGAAAGGATAGGCACTGTCTAACTTCAAAATGTTTAGACTGTGCCTGTCTTTCCAATTAATTTTGATTTGAGGCACAGAGCTGGATCGACACAGCAGACGGCCTGGACTTCATGACATTAGCCCACGTCTGACCTCAACTTTTAATTTTGGAGTGAACTATCGCTTAGTCCCTTTGGCTGAAGACATTAATTTGACTTAATGGGGTGCCCAAACAACAGTTACTCAAATGTCTGGCCTTTTAATTGAGTGCCACCAGCTTTTTGTTTTTCCAGCTGTAGGCATGTATCATTGAGGGATAAAAATGTACAACCAGTTTGAGGTTAACCTCGGGAGAAGGGAACCATCCAGTAGCACAGTCCCTCCCTCTGCATCTTCCAAGACTTCCAAAAGGTCAAATGTTGCTGTGGGGTTTCTAACCCAACTACTGAAAGTAGTGTTATATTTCTAGCATGTTTGTCCTCCAACAGTGTACTTCCCAGATATTCCTTAACACTGTGATGTGCTATTGTGGAAATGGGCTTTGTGCGTAATACTGACAACAAACGTTACTGTAGACTGGAGTTTGACTTTACAACTTTACTATATGATCACACTTTGCTGTTGTTTTTTTATACATATCATATGCATGCAACAACTAATAGTAGCTACCGGTATTCTGACTGTAGCTATTAGACAATGATATGTCTGGATAATTGAAGAAGAACACACACTATGAAATCAGCTCTCCTTCCAGTTGCAGTACATTACAGACTGCATGTGTTGTATGTAATGTGATCTACTTTCCTGGCAATGTGACTATCAATGCTATTGAATTAGGACGGGAGACATTGGTGCTGACATTTCTCCTGTGTTCTCCAGTCAGTCTTACCTGTGACGCCAATGTCACTGAGGGCAAGAGGAATCAATGCATTAGAATAGTGGTTTCATTAAACTTTTCTTTTATCGTCAGCCCCAGAATGGGACCCATTTGTTTTAACCATTAAACTGTAGATATGGATATTATAAACTGTAGAGATAAGTTTGGGAGGTGCATATGACTGACCTGATAAACTCTGTGTTCCAGATTAGTGCAGCACTGGGTCCCTACAAGAGGGATAAAGAAATGCAATGTATTATAAATAAACATGCATTATTAAGAGTCGTTGAAATGGTTACTTGGACAATCCACCTCCCCATCCTTTGAATATGTTGCTTGGCTCTTAGTAAATTGTGTATGATAAGGGAGGACTTCTCAGAAAATGGCTGTTAGCCAATAGAATTAGATTGTCACACAGACACAGCAGCAGTATGTGCAAAATGTTAGTCATAATTTATTGGACAACAGGGGCAGAGAGAAACAGGTGTTTGGGCAGACCTCAATCTCATGAACCACATCTAGTCTAACATAACCTATTTTAAACTAACGTTTGTAAATGTAAAATGTTTTCAATTTGATGGTACACAATGTTGAATAAACCTCTCATCTAGGAAAGTGAACTGTTGTTATTTGTTCATAAATTATTCATTATTCTAAATGACTCATCTAAAATTAAACTACCATCAATGGAAAGATATTCACATACAGGCAGCATTTATAAGATTTCAGTCCAGTAAATTTCTCAGATTAGCTAATAAATTGACTCCGACAAAGGCCAGTGTGCCAGCATACCAAGTAAGGCATACAATAAATTGAAACTGTACAGAGAAAATAGGCCTATGAAAACATAAAGGTCATTCAGAATGCAACACTACACTCCCTATTCCACAGGGACAGTATATTCTCTACCTGGATACAGTCTTAAAAAGGGATAGTTCACTCAAACTCTCACTTTACCTACTAAAATACATTGCGTGAACAATCCCTTTAATAAGACAAAATGTTGACAGACGGACAACCATTTTTGAAAAAACAATACATTTATTGTAAATAATTTCCATATGAAAGTAATGCATTCATATAAACATTTGAAAGAGATGCACATTGTGAATCATCTATTTACAGCAAGAGTGTGTGTGTGTTTAAAAAGTGTGTAAATAGAGAGACATATGAGAGAATACCATTCCCTTTGTCAGAGCAGCATAGGAAAGATTTGACAACTTTCCAGCATATCCTTTCTGTGTTAACGAGTAGGACTAGGTCTTAGTGCTTCTGATCAGATTGATAGTAATTAAACAGGTAGACTGAGCAGAATGACGTTGCCACCAGCAGCACCACAGATATTGCGATGAGTGAGATGCCAGACTTCGCTCTCACACAGTCAAACACAGTATCTGTGCATGGGTTCGCAACAGTATGGAGTTTAGCCTCTCTCTTCAACGATCTTAGTTGCAGAAATCGACCCACTATGCTGTTTACTTTGTGCATCTATGTCATATAGCTGAGTCTACCTTTAATGTAATGAAAGGGGCTGGGGTGACATGAGCTTTAAGCCAGCCTCTTTCTAAAGGAACCTCATAACCCATTACTTCTGATGTCTCTCCTCAAAGTGACTCAGATTCAGGAACTTCACACTCCAGTACACAGATCTACAAATAATTAATACATGCCTGTGAGGCATTTTGATATTGTACATGATCAGCTGATAAATTAGTTAAAAGGTAAACTGGAATGAGCTGCAAAAGGAATCACCTTTTAAATAAAAAATTAAGAATCTGTCTTGTTGGAAAGCATTCAGTCTGATAAGATAGTCAACTTTAGTCATAGTATTTGATGAGATATGTGATAGTCACTACATAGAGATAATAAGGGTCCATCAGTTCAAGCAGGAGATGGCAGTATTGAGATGTAGGTAGTTTAGAGTGTCCCGCAAAAAAAAAGAAGAGACAGTAGTAGATTTGATTGAAGCGTCTTAAACTTTAGTCACCCATTCATTAAAAAAATCAACTGCTTAGAAAAGGTGACTGTCACGATACAAGTCACTAAAAGCAGCATGACACTCATTCAATTTTATTTGATTCTTTATAATATAGCATACAAATCTATAAATGTGGTCCATACACACTTCAAATGGCATCCATGCCTTGCCAATGCACTCTGCATTCTCAATTTAATGAGCAAACTATTTAGTTTGATGAATACATAACCATTGTGTTCATACAGCATGGGTCGGAAACCAGAGAATATGGCAGCAAAAATATTCTACATGAATTAGGCTGTCTCTCAAATGGCACTCTATTCCCTACACAGTACACTACTTTTGACTACAGCCCGTGGGCCTGGTCAAAAGTAGTGCACTATATAGGGAACAGAGCGCCATTTGGGATGCAAGCCATAGTCGTTCTGTTCATTACCAACAGCCCATATTCTGTCTACAGTAAGGCTTGTGAATACACAATTGATTGTGTTATCATTTTCTCACAGACAAAAAGGCATTTTCACTGAAGTATCTGCTTTGAATGAGGCTTGATTGTTTGCAATCGATGCCTAATTGCCCTGAAGCAATCTACACTGTCTCTTAGACTGCTATGTATCTAGGAGACCGGTCTGTGTCTAAGTTTGAACTAGCTAGCATTGTCCACAATGGTGACTTTAAAAAAAGTCTACTTCCAGGCAGTATGGTCTTTCAGGCTTCAATGCACATGTTCCACTGGCCTAAATTTCATCACCAGTGTTTGCTCCACAAAGTTTAGCTGTGCCAGATTCATAAACACAATGTCAAGCCGATAGCCTGGTTTTTTGACATGATATTTACAAATTCCATTTAGTGAACACAGGGAATTACCCTTAGGTGCATGCTTCTGTAAAAAAGTAGAAAATATGTACACTACCAGTCGAATCATGTAGTAAACAAAAAAGTGTTAAACAAATTGAGATTCTTCAAATAGCCACCCTTTGCCTTGATGACAGCTTTGCACACTCTTGGCATTCTCTCAACCAGCTTCACCTGGAATGCTTTTCCAACAGTCTTGAAGGAGTTCCCACATATGCTGAGCACTTGTTGGCTTCTTTTCCTTCACTCTGCGGTCTGACTCATCCCAAACCATCTCAATTGGTTTGAGGTCAGGGGATTGTGGAGGCCAGGCCATCTGATGCAGCTCTCCATCACTCTCCTTCTTGGTAAAATCGTCCTTACACAGCCTGGAGGTGTGTTGGATCATTGTCCTGTTGAAAAACAAATGATAGTCCCACTAAGCCCAAACCAGATGGGATGGCGTATTGCTGTATAATGCTGTGGTAGCCATGCTGGTTAAGTGTGCCTTGAATTCTAAATAAATCACAGACAGTGTCACCACCGGTCTAATGTCCATTGCTCTTGTTTCTTGGCCCAAGCAGGTCTCTTCTTATTATTGGTGTCCTTTAGTGGTGGTTTCTTTGCAGCAATTCGACCATGAAGGCCTGATTCACACAGTCCCCTCTGAACAGTTGATGTTGAGATGTGTCTGTTACTTGAACTCTGTGAAGCATTTATTTGGGCTGCAATTTCTGAGGCTGGTAACTCTAATGAACTTATCCTCTGCAGCAGAGGTAACTCTGAGTCTTCCATTCCTGTGGTAGTCCTCATGAGAGCCAGTTTCATCATAGCGCTTGATGGTTTTTGCAACTGCACTTGAAGAAAATTTAAAAAGTATTGACTGAACTTCTTAAAGTGATGATGGACTGTCGTTTTTCTTTGCTTATTTGAGCTGTTCTTGCCATAATACCAAATTGGGCTATCTTCTGTATACCCCCCACCTTGTCACAACACAACTGATTGGCTCAAACGCATTAGGAAGGAAAGAAATTCCACAAATTAACTTTTAAGAAGGCACACCTGTTAATTGAAATGCATTCCAGGTGACTACCTCATTAAGCGGGTTGAGAGAATGCCAATAGTGTGCAAAGCTGTCATAAAGGCAAAGGGTGGCTATTTGAAGAATCTCAAAATAGAAAATATATTTTGATTTGTTTAACACTTTTTTGGTTACTACATGATTCCATATGTGTTATTTCATAGTTTTGATGTCTTCACTATTATTCTACAATGTAGAAAATAGTAAAAATAAAGAAAAATCCTGGAATGAGTAGTTGTGTCCAAACTTATGACTGGTACTGTACATTTGATTGACCAGTTTTCTAGTTATTGGGTGACCAATTGAAAATCTCAGAGGGCATTATGTTAATTTTTCTATAGAAACAGTTGTCACATACACCAGCCAGTAAGACATCATGCCACACAGTGGAACAACAGAACCATCCACCACTGCCACCAGCCAGTTCCACAGTTGGACTTTCAATCCATTGTTGTTCCCAATCTCATCTTCATCCTGTCATGACTTTTGGAGGGGACCCGTCCTGCACATAGACATGACTGACAGCCAGTGAGAGGAAGCAAATACCCTATTCAACTTAAACTTAAGGTTACAGAGTTACAAAAATCCCAACTGCCGTTGTCCATGATGTACTGTCCTATAAGGCAAAGAATCTGCAGCTTGCAGCAAATGATTTGGCTGTTCTAAACCACAAACGTAATGCCTTGTGGGCCGTTAGTACTCCAACAGTGTGGCACTGGCACCAAAGCTATAGCTTACATCATTTAGGCTACATTATAGATAGGCAGAGGTACTGCAACATTGGAAGACAAAATCTGCCTATCGGAACTGATTGGCTTTTCAGTGGACGAAAACAATATGAATTCAGCTCATGCGTTTGCTTTGTTTAGGCCTAGTCCTCAAACAGGAAATGACCAAATACAGGAAATACTTTGGGTTTATGATCATTTCCATTTCTATCCCAAAGGCAAAGCCCAGTTTTTAGCCAGCTCAGATACAGGCTCTGGCCAGGTTACATCAGTAAGTGCTTTCTTCAATGGTAAACATGAGAAAGAAAAGCAGAGAGGCATTTTACAGTTGATGGTTTTGTAGGGCTTGGCAGTGATTGTGAACAGAAGGGAACATAGCTTATATTTCATGCAGATATCCAAATCAGCACCTGGCAAAGAAAAAAACTAAAAGATGTGACAAGCATTAAAAACAAGCAGATAAAGATGTTTTCACAAAGAAGAAAAATTACCAAAAACAGAAAAGGAGAAGTGTCAGAAGAGTTCATGCTCAGTGAAGTCAGGCGGCGGGAAGACTATCGCCTGTACGCATCATCAGTCCGCACCCTGAAAGAGGCTGGTAGCATGGGTGCTGGAGCATGGCTTCCCACCTCAGACAACGTACTGGTAATAGTCTGCCTTCCCGTGGTCAGGTGTTGCAAAGGGACTTAGCCAGGCTATAGAGAACGGATGGCCAAATACCACCCTCATGTTCATCCACTTTGTCCTTTTAGCCCATCTTCTCTCCTCCTTTTTCAACTGCTCTATGCCCTGTAGATAAGATCCAACAACAGGCAAAACATCAGCAGGGGCAATAATGATATGTCTCAACATACAGTGGCTTGTGAAAGTATTCACCCCCCTTGGCATTTTTCCTATTTTGTTGCCTTACATCCTGGAATTAAAATGGATTTTGGGGGGATTTGTATCTTTTGATTTACACAACATGCCTTATACTTTGAAGATGCAAAATATTTTTTCTTGTGAAACAAACAAGACATAAGACTAAAAAACTTGAGCGTGCATAAGTATTCACCAATACTTTGTAGAGCCACCTTTTGCAGCAATTACAGCTGCAAGTCTCTTGGGATATGTCTCTATAAACTTGGCACATCTAGCCACTGGGATTTTTGCCCATTCTTCAAGGCAAAACTACTCCAGCTCCTTCAAGTTGGTTGTGTTCCGCTGGTGTACAGCAATCTTTAAGTTGTACCACAGATTCTCAATTGGATTGAGGTCTGGGCTTTGACTAGGCCATTCCAAGACATTTAAGTGTTTCCCCTTAAACCACTCAAGTGTTGCTTTAGCAGTATGCTTAGGGTCATTGTCTTGCTGGAAGGTGAACCTCCGTCCCAGTCTTAAATCTCTGGAAGACTGAAATAGGTTTCCCTCAAGAATTTCCCTGTATTTAGCGCCATCCATCATTCCTTCAATTCTGACCAGTTTCCCAGTCCCTGCCGATGAAAAACATCCTCACAGCATGATGCTGCCACCACCATCCTTCACTGTGGGGATGGTGTTCTCGGGGTGATGAGAGGTGTTGGGTTTGCGCCAGACATAACGTTTTCCTTGATGACCAAAAAGCTAAATTTTAGTCTCATCTGACCAGAGGACCTTCTTCCATATGTTTGGGGAGTCTCCCACATGGCTTTTAGCGAACACCAAACGTGTTTGCTTATTTTTTTCTTTAAGCAATGGCTTTTTTCTGGCCACTCTTCCGTAAAGCCCAGCTCTGTGGAGTGTACGGCTTAAAGTGGTACTATGGACAGATACTCCAATCTCCGCTGTGGAGCTTTGCAGCTCCTTCAGGGTTATCTTTGGTCTCTTTGTTGCCTCTCTGATTAATGCCCTCCTTGCCTGGTCCGTGAGTTTTGGTGGGCGGCGCTCTCTTGGCAGGTTTGTTGTGGTGCCATATTCTTTCAATTTTTTTATAATGGATTTAATGGTGCTCCGTGCGATGTTCAAAGTTTCGGATAATTTTTTATAACCCAACCCTGATCTGTTCTTCTCCACAACTTTGTCCCTGACCTGTTTGGAGAGCTCCTTGGTCTTTATGGTGCCGCTTGCTTGGTGGTGCCCCTTGCTTAGTGGTGTTGCAGACTCTGGGGCCTTTCAGAACAGGTGTATATATACACTGAGATCATGTGACACTTAGATTGCACACAGGTGGACTTTATTTAATTAATGATGTGACTTCTGAAGGTAATTGGTTGCACCAGATCTTATTTAGGGGCTTCATAGCAAAGGGGGTGAATACATATGCACGCACCACTTTTCTGTTATTTATTTTTTAGAATTTTTTGAAACTTCACCAATTTGGACTATTTTGTGTATGTCCATTACATGAAATCCAAATAAAAATCAATTTCAATTACAGGTTGTAATACAACAAAATAGGAAAAACGCCAAGGGAGATAAATACTTTTGCAAGGTACTGTAATCCTGGCTACTTACTGTATATATCTTGGGGACAGTTCTACTAAGACACTGAATAAAGCTACTGGCAATATTAATCTAAGCACTAAGCAGCAGGGTTGGGGTCAATTCCATTTAAATTCAGGAAGTAAACTGAAATTCTAATTCCAGTTTACTTCCTGAATTGAAATTGACCCCAACCCTGCTAAACAGCGATAGTTAAGAAGGTAAAGAGGAGCATTGAGTGAGGGAGTGAATGGGAGCAAAGGGATGCTGGTGGCGTGTTCAGTTCTCTTACCGTCTCATCGTTACAGATGGAATGGACCTGGGTCCCAAACATCACCAAGGTGAAAATGAGGAAGAGGAGTGCCTCAAAGCAGAGGAGGATGAGGAGGATGACGGTGGCTGGAGGAGAGAATGTACTGCACTCTTGGGAGGGCAGAGGGAGGGAGGAGTAGAGAAGGGAGAGAAAGAGGTTTAAACTGGAGAGCATTGATTGTCTGGAAGCTGAGTACAGGTGTGCTAGATTCCGTCTCATCAGATAAGTATTATCTTAGGCACCAGTTGAAATATTGTATGTATCAGGTAAATTGACCAATTAAGTCATGCCCTAACAAAGAGAGCCAATCAAAGTATGTGAAAGGAGAACAATCAGGCTACTGGAGAGGAAGACAACATGACACTTGAAGAAGTGGAAATAAATAGTTACAAATGGAAACCACAACACCAAATCCATTAAATGTGTTTCTCTGTTGCCGACTTACCACGCAAAGTTAAAAACAGTATGGTGGATTTGGCATAGCATGCTAATACATAGCAGGAACAGCATGGTACTCACTTGTCCAGTCTGACTCAAAGCAGAAGATAAAATGAAAGGCAACCATGACCAGGGCATGGAGGGATATCAGTGCAATGTACATCTGAAGGGAGACAAAGAATACACCTCATCAGGTAACATCGTAGTAACATTACATTAGTTAACCGTGCAGTACTCTTATTTTTAAAATACAACTCTTATTTTGTCAAGATTTTGAATAATGTGATGTATTGGTGAATGTGGGCGAGAGTTTACAGGTTTGTTGCAGGAGATGGATAGTTGAATTAGTCAGCGTTAACTGTAAGGTATGAATGCTGAGACAGTAGCAACATCTCATGTGAGTGAGTGAATGATGGCTTGTAGTGAATGTACGTTTGAGTAATAGAAGCATGTCTGAGTCGCTCGAGGCTAAACACTCACTGTGAAAAGGACAAAGAATTTCTGGTTCTTCTCTCCTACGCAGTTGTTTACCCATGGGCAATGGTGGTCCATCTTCTTGATACAGCGTTTACACACACTGCGAGGAGCACGCACACGAGTAGATGACATGAAAGCAGCGTATAGCCACATACAGAAGAGGCCTGGAAATATGGGCCAAACCGTGACCTACACAAGCTGCTCCTTCTGGGTGTATGAAGACCAGCCATAATGCATAGTTAACTATCAGTGAATTCAAACACACACACCAAGGCAGCGGAGAGTGAGTGGAGAGAGACTCCACTCCTAGCCACCTCTAGCTGCACGGTACACACTGTCTACGTTCCAAATGGCACTCTATTCCCTATATAGTGCTCTACTGTTGACCAGAGCCCTAAGGGCCCTGGCCAAAAGAGGTGTACTATATAGGGAACAGGGTTCAATTTGGGACAAACACCATGTTGACATTGATGGAGGTGAGAGATGGGAATAACCTGCTGAGCTGGACTGTAGTCTCCATCACACAGGGGAGTCACAGAGGAGGTATATTATCTGAGGGAGAGGGTAGCAGACTGACAACTCAACTAGGCCCTGACACATCATCATCAATCATCTGCCCTATGGAGCTGCAAAGGCTGCAATATGCTTAAATAGAGGTGCTCTGATACCATGACATTCTCTGAAGATGTGTGAAGTGTTATAGTATAAATATTATGACACCATCCTGTATGTCACATCAATTGACATTATTTTGATCAAATATAAATACCAAGTGTTGTTATCTACTTTTTCCTAATTCCTACTTCAACTAATCCCCTTTGTTTTTAGCCATTTCCGTCCCTTGAAACTAGGTTCAAAGCGCTTCAAATTCCAGGGAACTCCTTCTTAGCCATCTAGTAAGTACCAGTAGGTATAAGTAATGCAGCAGGGCTGAGGCTAAACAACATTGGCAGGAAAGAACATTTGAAGCAAACAAGTGTAATGGGACAGAGCTCTCTAGACTAGACTGCAGCAGTACCTGTACTGTACCTGCAGTGGTGAGCTCTGTCGGGCTTGATACTGCAGCACTTGGGACATTTGTAGACCACCTGACCGGGCTTTAGCTGCAGGCTCTCGATAAACTCCTTGGTCGCGTTCCCTTTAGGCACCGCACCCTGGGAGAGAGGCACGGGTTAGGACAGGGGCATTAATTAATATCTGAAACCTGTCTGAAAACAATACACAACGTTTTGAAGGAGTTCTCTACAAGCTGTTTTTCTAGTGAAGGCTGAAAGCTCTGCATTTGACAGTTTCGCCTGAGAGTCCACTCACCGACTCACTGGGTGCGTCTCAATAATATCTCCTGAAGTGTGCACTCGCTCACTACTGCCCACAAATCTAAAAGCATTGGATAGGTGGAGGCATGGGCTAGTGGGAATGTCCACCATATTTTTTAATTACAGTCATTTCCTTTCAAATCAGTGAAGGGAAGTGAACAAGTGAACACTTTTGGGGGAAGGAGAGATAATTGGAACAAAGCTACAGAATCACTGTCACAGACAGACAGTATACAGACAGAGACAGCCAGACTAACCGGGTCTGTGCACATGGCCCGGGCGTGTGAGGCCAGGGCGAGGAAGGCGAGGACACTGAACAGTGCACCGTTGAATAGACTATAGAGCAGGTTCTTGGCGGGCAGCAGCACGACGAAGAGCACCACGAACTCGGCATAGAACACCAGGCACCAGGTGATGACGCCGCATACGATGCCGCAGCAGTCGCGGATGAACCACATGGCGTCGGAGCGAGGGCAGGTTGGGGGAGGGGCGCAGTGCTCAGGCTGCAGGTAGCCGGCTTGCCTCTCAATGTCCCTGCAACGGTGCGCCGGGCTCTTCTTCATTCTAGAACGGCCGCAGCTCTCGCCGCATGCTGCTGGGAGAGAAGGGTTTGGACGGTTAGGGATAGGCTACAGATACAGGTGTGTCAATTAAGTGATGTCTGATGTGCCAATGTTGCATTGCATTTTCTGTGTTGTTGTAATGAGCTGTTGTTGTAGTGTAAATATATGGAGGAAGCCTTGTGAGAAACTACAGGTGTATACATAATTGAGAAGGAAGTGAGGTGTCAATGTTTCATTGTCTGTACAGACAGTATTGTTGGAATGTGGTCTCTTTTCTGTTATTTGTTGGAACGTGGTGTTGTAGACTGAAACAAATGTTTTACTGAAAAGGCTAGACACCTAGTTTATGTGTTGTCTTTTAATCTAAACTTATCTGAACTGTGGTGACGTATCAACTTTGCCATACAAATCAATCGTCTGTGCAAACAGACAATAACGGACAAAGGGAGTGAGAGAAGAGACAGTGGGTGAGAGTTTATGAAGTTCTTGTTAGTCTGTTTAAGTATTCTAAAGCAAGTAAAGCAACAGTGTATTCTAAAGTCTTTAAATTCAATTATCCTGGTCAAAATGTCTCTGCGGTCAGTTTTGGCCCACATTCAGTGGAACCAGAATGTCAGGGTAATAAAAATAGCCTATATGTCCAAAAATATTAAGAAAGAACATTACAAGTTCAAAACAGCTGAGTATTCCTAAAATAAACACACTGCCTTTTTGAAATGTATGTATCAAACAAATGTATTCTATAAAGCTCTTTTTACATCAGCAGTTGTCACAAAGTGCTTATACAGATACCAGCCTAGAACCCCAAAGTGCAAGCAATGCAGATGTAGAAGCACAGTGGCTAGGAAAAACTCCCCCCTCTGAAATCTGGCCTATAAGAGGTCAGAATTTCATCCATCCATGTGGCCAATTCACTGGTATTTTCTGTGTAATCTCACTTTTATGATTAGCCATACTAGCTTAATTGAGCTTTAGCCAAATCGTCTTACGGGGAACCCTGATGCATCTGACATATTCCTGCCAAAACCTTTTTTATATAATGTTTGTAAAAGCCCACTATTCGAACATCCCTAACAGCAGCACTGATATAGGCCAGTGTGTAGACAATCAACCTGTGATAAACACATTACTACACACAAATGCACTAGACTACACAGTGCACCCCCTCATCCCCTGGCTGTCTCCCACATACACTACAGTAGCCTGGTTAGTGCCTAGCCCCAGACTCTGGACAGTCTGCCTACACACAACAGGCTTAGTGCCCTCCTGCTGGTTAGTGGGTGAGAAGTTCAGCCTGGCCATGGCTATCACTTTCCCCACTCAGCCCAGGCATTACGATCTGCTGCTGATAGTGCTATGCTAACACATCCAGGCCAGACTAACAGCATCTAGCTAATTCACCGGGTCAGTGTGTCACTCTCTCCCTCTCACACACACCACTACAACACTCCCATCCCGCAAGTTGTGCGTAGCTAATAGTCAGAATGCAAGGATCCCTCTATGGATTTGATAAGCACAGCTGTGGAATGGTTGTGTTAGCCTAGTTAATTATAAAATCCTGATGCATATATTTGTTTTGTCAAACAGGCAACAATTAAAAGGCCTTTGCTGTCATCCATAACATGGATTATTCAGTTTGAGGCATTTCAGGTAAAACTTGCTTTAGGCAGAGGAAGTGGAATGCTAATAACGTGTAGGGGCCCTTCTATGTCATTTCAGCAAGCCATGGCACTCACCATCTCAGATTGTTCTGAAATCATTTCTGTAGTTAGAAACAGATAAGATTATCATTCCTGCAACATTATTTTGTTGAAATATAATTTAATCTCTGAGAAATTAAGATAATTGATTGCACCCAAATTGGCCATTTTAATTTATAGGGTTCATATAATATTCAATAAATATAGTACCAGACCTCCGATTTGGACCAAACTTTTTCTAACAATGAGTAAGACAAGAGGAATCCAAAGAAATTGTCAAAAGCCACCCACAGACCCCCCACGCCAATCCCACCACCAACAATGAGGTACCATTGACATTAGGGTTGGGCGATGTCTGGAATGACACATCGTCCCATCGACCTGTCCAAACATCGTTGATATACGATTGTATCACAGATAGAACGAGTTAAAAAATATATATATTTTATTGTATCATCCCCCAAAGAAATCTGTGGCAGGGGGAGCGAGGCATTGTGTTGCCTAGCAACGCAGTAAACGACCTATAACGCAGCCTGTGTTGTGCACAAACCACAGATTATACTCTAATCATTACATTTTTCATTTACATTTTAGTAATTTAGCAGACGCTCTTATCCAGAGCGATTTACAGGAGCAATTAGGGTTAAGTGCCTTGCTCAAGGGCACATCGACAGATTTTTCACCTAGTCGGCACGGGGATTAGAACCAGCGACCTTTCGGTTACTGGCACAACGCTCTTAGACTACAATGTGGAAATCATCTTACCAATATTGTATTTTCTTGTGTGCAAATAAATAAATAAATAAATAAATATAAACCAATCATATGGTGATATTTGGTACCGATAACTTTGAATGGTGATTTGGAACCAAACGTTGTAGACCTACAGTGTGATACGAGACCCTTTCAATGATGGTGATGTTGGATAATTTCAACTAAGATCGAGTGCACATGTTCACGGTAGAAGATATCAGTGGTCAGTCTTCTTGCGAGAGCTAAGCAAACAGTCACACTCAGTGCGCAACAGCGGGCCAGCGCAGAACTCACATCCTACCTACTCTAACATGTAATCGGAGCATAGTGACCCACTGGCATTAGTGGAGAGGGAATGAGGGTCGCTTTCCGCTCTGGGCCAACGTCGCCCTCAAATACATCTGCATTCCGTGCAAAACGCGTTCTGTCTGAACGTGTTTTCAATATGCCTACAGCAGGCAATACCGTTACCCCACTCCGCAGTCTATTAAAGACAGAAAAGGTGAACATGCTTGTGTTCCTGGCCAGAAACCTTTAGGTAGGTTAATATATAATGAAAAGAAAAATAGTCCGAATGGTTCTTCTATGCACTTTTTATTTGTTTAATTTTCAAAGCCTGTATTCACAGATGCGTCTTATTCTAAATAAATGTAGCCCAGGCTAGAATATTCTCGTGTGCCTTAAACTTATTTGCACTGTTATTTATTTCGTTAATTTCGTACTTATTCTGTTTACTTTATTTATTTTGTAATTTGTAGCCTTTCCCAAATGTGGGTTCTTCTTTTTATTGGCAACATTTATTTTTGTTCCTTTATCGAAAGCGCTGATGTGGGAGTTTATATAATCCCTATTGCGCAATTCAAGGATATGAAAACACTTCTACAGTAATATAAATATCTGTGTACTGTACATTTTATTGACAGTAGCCTAGTGTAGGCCTATATTATTGTCTGTTTGGTTTGCAATGATTTTCTGGCAGATCACAATGTGTTTTTCCTAAAGCTTTGGTCAGGTGGATGTCAGAAACGTATAAGGTTTGTTTAAACTTCCCATTCAATTATTCTATCTTGCAATTGTTGGTTCTCTCTCTCATTATTACCATATCATGTTTTTATTAAGGCTATTGACAAACATAACTTTCTGAGATAGAACTCTGTTACTGGCCTCCTAGATTCATTGAAAGTTGATCATGAAAGATATGCTTAGACAAACAAGTCACGTTCAAATAAAATGTGGATTGGGGCAACAAGGGAAATTAAGCTTTTAAAACAAGCCAGAAAACAGATTGTCCGCTGCAAAAGGACCATGATCATCCGACATTGGAGCGGTGAGCGAGAGAAATGTTATCTGACATTTTGCGCTGCTTTTAGCACTCTCCGCTCCATCTACATTGTAGGCCTACTCTTGCATTATGTTAATAGTAGGATAAGTCTACCTACATATTTATTGAAAAAGGCTACGCCAAACAGGAAGAGGTAGGTCATTTGTCGTGTCGCCCGGCTGTGAGCTGCACTGTTATGCGCTGCCCAACTCAAGCAGTGTCAGTCAGGTTCAAATAGGTTAAACTATCTTCTGTAAAAAATATAAATATATAAAAACTATCGTCTGTCACATCAAGATGTTGTTGCCATTGACGATGTCTGTCAAACATAATTGATATCCGATTATATCGTAATATCGCCCAACCCTAATTGACATGCATTGGATCTTTGCCACAAATGCTAAAAAGTTAGCATTTGAAACAGTGGACAGGTAATAAAAACAAAAAAAATGGGTTGCTGTCATACCATGTCCATAAACTGCTTACAGGGTAAGGAACCTATATGTCATTTTGTAATGGGGGGGGGGGGGGGGGGTTCTTAAAAAACAAAAAAACACCTAACAGCAGAACCAGCACCATCTAGTGGTCAGAACATGGGAATATCAGGATGTAGGATGGGACATAAACCTAACAACTTCAATGACTAATCTCCCTGAACAGGAGAAAAAACACATCACCAAATTCACTGAGGATACATTACATAGGATGAAGAAACACCTCTCAGAGCCGCAGCTCCATGCTACTTGTCAGACATAGAAAACTGATACTATATACTTGTTGTTGGGGTGGGATTGGCGTGGGGTGTGGGGGTTCCTCATGTCTAACTCATTGTTCTAAAAAAGTTTGGTCCAAATCTGCTGTTAGGTACTATACTTATTGAATATTATATTAATCCTATAAATTAAAAAATGGCCAATCTGGGTGCAATCAATTAGCTTAATTTCTCAGAGATCAAATTATATTACAACAAAATAATGTTGCAGGAATGCTAATCTTACCCGTTTCTAACAACAAAAACTATTTCAGAACAATCAGAGATGGTGGGTGTCGAAATCCTATTTATTGTGCTTTTTGAGGTGGAATGACCCGTAGGTGAATCAATGTTGAGAGATGACTGGGGGTGTCACTCCCATAGAGTGAACAAAGCTAACAGTATCTCTTGTACTACATCATAACTACTGTTTCATCGAAACCAAATAAGTCAGGGACCTCATAGAAACGTTGTCCTATAAACATCTCTTGCTGCTGCTGCTTAACTCCAGTGACACAATCTGTTACCAAGGTCAATGCTACATAATGAATTCACTATAGCTACTATGGCATTTGTACACATAAGCAAAAGCACTGTCAAGAAAAACAATGCGAGGCAAGCGTCGATTAGCTATTATCTGCTAAATCAATGCTCTTTTGTGGTTGACTAGAAGGGAGTGTATAAACTCCTCCTTCACTGAATGACATGCTGCTGTTATCCTGAATGAACTGATTGACTTTAGTATAGTCTTTGTCTTACAGCAGAAACTATTTTTACAAAATTGCCATTCTATTCTGCCGTTCTCAAGACAGCAATAGTTGACAACAGTCACACATTTAGCCTAAGTCTCACAATTCAACTGAGACTCCAGTATTAATAAACATTATGACATATAACGTCTAATAGATATGACACTAACGACTTCAATGGATCAATGAAACATTACAAAAGACTGGGGTGTGAGCACTATACTGTATGAGCGCTATACCGCTGAATGGGGCATCAGTTTAATACATTATTTATGAGATTGCAGGACTCCCTGCTGCTTGGATGCCTCCAACAGTCATTAATAAGACTGAGGAATGGCAGACCCAGAGGAAGAGAGCACAGGAGAATGGGAGTGAAAGATGGGAGTGGAGGAGAGATGTGGCTCAATAGGATGAAATAGCAGTTAATTAACAAGGCTGATGTAATTTACGTTTATAACCTCAGCTGGAATGCCTATGGTCTTATCTAATAGTCTAGATTTAATGTGGTAAGCTTTTGCTATGTTGATCACAATGATCAGTCTTGTCCTTAGTCAGTTTAATTGTTAAAATGTTGTATTTTGATTAAGCATAAACAGCAAATGGTTGTATCAAGAACCTTGTATAAAGGATTCAGTATGGAATTCCCACAGCAGAAAAGTACCCTGGCTCACTAGAAATCCTAAAGATCATCAATAGCTACTTTTCTGCAGTTTAAGAGATGCAACCCTAGCCCAAAGGCCGGCAGATGGCAATATTGATCTGGTATTGATGGTACTGCAACCCTATCTATTCGTTTTGAGATTTCCTAACAAGAAATTCCACTGACTGTAATAGTAAAATGACCAAAATGGAATAACATTTGTAAATTGACCTATGTCAAGTCACAATCATTGTTATTGAGCTAGAATAGCAAAGTAACATGGTTCATTAGCTAGCTATACTAATGAAAATAATCTAGATTCTGTCAGATTTAGAATTTAATGCTAGCTAGCTAGGTAGTAGGCAGGCACCAGGCTACTATACTCTAGTGTATGTGGGAGACAGCCACGGGATGGGGGAGGGCACTGTGTAGTCTACGCTAGTGCATTTATGTGTATAGTTAGCTAGGTAGCTCCAAGGATTAGCATGGTTTCACAGATTTGGTGGATTGGTTTAGCTAGTTAGCTAATTTGGTTAACTAGATATGTAACGTTAGAAACAACCATGATGATTTGAACTCACCCCTTTCCTGGTCGAAGAGTCCTCTTTTTTAATGTCTGGCACGCTAACGTTAGCTAGGTAACGTTACACCATTCACAACAGCTAGTCGTAGATGATTGTAGATAATTAGCTAGATCACGTTAGATAATTAGTTATGCTTGCTAGCGTGGGGTTAGTTAGCAGTACACCCCTTGATGTGTCTCACGATTCACGCTTGACGTGTTGAGTACATCGTTAAACTACAAAACCACTTGGTTTCGATGTTTCCGGTTATTCATATGGAAATGACAATACGTGCAGACCTACTGGTTGGGTGCGTGCCCTTTTCCCTCTATACTTAATCTAGAAAGCTCTTTGACAAGCAAGGAACAAATTGAGGAAAAACCAGGAAGTGCCCTGCCTTCCATGCGCAAGATTTATGTGCGCTCAAGGGTTGGCGTTCCAAACACCTGAGGTTGCCCTATAGTTATCAGTATCTTTGTTGCCTCTGCATGCAGATCTAGGAACATATTTCCCTACCAATTCCCTAAAAACCGACCTAGGATATCAGTGTAGCTAATAGTTTAAAGGCCGACAGATGGCGATATGAGTCGTTTCATTTTACCGTCCAAAGCAAATGCATGCAGCTGGCTATATAGTGTATACATATCCCCCAGTGGACTGGCTTATACATCAAACATTCTCCATTCAGGCTGCAAATGCATCGATTTCCTCCTTAACTCGATTTAATGGCGAGAAGGCAGGAAAAAAACGTGGAAAATATGCATACTTTCTTTATGAAACACCTTTTCCACCACCATGCTAATGCTACTTCCTGATGATGTGCCCTGCATTCAGACATGGTAAACAACAGACTGCTGTAACCTGATTGGCTGAATGCAATACACAACATCCATGGGTGTATTCATTGTGGAAACCGTTTACGTTTAAGAACCAAACAGACGCAAACTGAAAGAAATGGGGCTGGACATACCTGAATTTGTCCAATAGAAACTCTTGTTTGCGTTTTCCATTTGAAGTAAACCTTTTGCAACAGAATCAGCTTAATGATTACACCCCAGGACTAGCATTCCTAGGCATTAGCCGCTCTAGCATGGTTGTGGAAAGGGGTGTTTTATAAAGAAAGTACCATATTTTCCCTGCCTTCTCGCCATTAAATCGAGTTGAGGAGGAAATCGACGCCTTTGTAGCCTGAATGGAGAATGTTTTATGTATGAACCAGTCCATGGGGGATAGGAGTGTATAGCTAGCTGCATGAATTCCATTTGGACGGTAAGATGAAACTACTCAATATCGCCATCTGCCGGCCTTTGGGCTATGTAGCTAAATTCATTTAAACTTCTACCGCACTATAAAGTAGTCCTTTGCAAAATCTCCTTCGCTCACCTTTGAGAAATAGCAATTGCTATTTTGTTGATAAAAATATGTCCAAATTAAAACATAGCAGTAGTCGAAGAAAAATCTACCTTCAAATTGTCTGAGTTTCAATGCGTAAGAAGCTAAATAATTTACATAATGTTATATGAAGGCTATAAAGTAAAAATTCTAACTGTCCAAAAATGTGTGCAGTAGAATTGAATGGTAGATGATTTGTAAACTGATCCAGCAACAATTTAGATAGGTTCAGCCACTGAGGTATAATGAGAAGCAGCTTCTTCTTCTTCTTCTTCTTCTTCAGTGGGGTTTATCAGCAGTTGGCATCCAACATTATGGTGCATTATCACCACCTACCGTACTGGAATGTGGGCCAGAGACAGGGAGAAACTAAATCCTACCTGCCAACCCCGTTTCTCTTAAAAAAGATAACAACATATTTTACACTATATCTAATGACGTTCTGCTCAATATACTCTTTAAACTAATTTCCTGTATCCCCTTCTCCCTCATACTAAATCTCATCCTCTCTATTTCCCTCTGATACTGCCCACACTGTAGCAATACAAGCTCCACAGTCTCTATTTCCTGACAATACTCCTACTTTCCCGATGGATGCTTTCCTATCACGTTTAATGTCTTATTCAACTGGCTGTGTCCCACCCTTAATCTTGTAAAAATAGCCTCCTCTCTTCTGTCCCTTCCTGCCGTCCTCCCCTCCCCGACTTTCCTCTGTACCTGAAATAAATGCCTTCCCTTATTATTTCTATTCCACTGCTCCTGCCATCTCTGCACCATCACTGTATATATCAGTATTTTTGCCTCTGCCTTGCTCATTGACACTTCAACATCCACATCCCCACTACTAAGTGCTTGTTTAGCCTGTTCATTTACTGCCTCGTTCCCCTCCACCCCCACATGGGCTGGAACCCAAGTAAATCGTATCTGAATATCCATCTGTTTAATCCTGCCATGGGTTTGTAGCACCTCATTAAGCAGGTCGTGTCTGCTTCGTGAGCTAAAGGACTGGAGACTCATTAACACTGCACTTGAGTCAGAGCAAATAACTATTCTGTCTGGCTTAACTTCCTCCACCCACTGCAAGGCCAACAGTATGGCCATCAGCTCCGCCGTATATACAGCCAGATGATCTGTAATACGTTTCCTGACTTCCACCCCACACTCCTGCACTACAAATGCTAACCCAGTACATAATAAGAAGCTGATATATACATTTTTGTATCTATGCCTTTTTGCCGCTCTTTGATGACGTGGATAGCGGAAAAACACACGTGGTATTTCAGTGTTGATGCATCATGGCTACTGTATAAGTCTGTGAGGCTGAAAAGGTGTATATTTTGCATGGTTTTTTGTTGATTGGTGAGTTCATTGTTGCTTCTGGTCGAGGACAGTATTATTCTAATATGAGGGACTTTGGAGGTAGTGTTATAACAAGTCATCTATGATGAATCACCCTCTTCATGTCCCCCTCCTAGCTCTGCCAATGCCACACCAGAGTTTGAGGATCTGGGTGGTGATGAGCTGGGCATGGAGTTGAGCAACACCCTGTACAAAGTGTTCAACAACAGATACAGTGTGGACCTGAAATGCCTTTGCATCAGCCCTGGGGAACACTGCTGGGTGCTCTATGTGGACGTGCTGATGAGTGACTGACACGGCAACGGGGCCTCAAAGTAGAGGTCTTCACAGGTCCAAAAAGTTGGACCCATTCCGAAATGGATCCGTGCTTTTCCACCCGAGAACATAAATCCGAATGGACCCGAGAACAGTAAGTCACATTTTGAAAAGGCCCGTGGAAAAAATAGACCCAAACAGACCTGTGCCAGTTCAGATCTGAGAGACCGTTCAGATCTGAGAGTAGAAAGAGAGAGACAAAGAAACCTCAGACGGGTTGCTGCAGTGCCATCAATAAACAAGCTATATTGGCAAAATGATCCACAGTTACATGACCTTTAAACTGCTCCCGAGTGGCGCAGCGGTCTAAGGCACTGCATCTCAGTGCTTGAGGCGTCACTACAGACTCCCTGGTTCAATTCCAGGCTGTATCACAACCGGCTGTGATTGGGAGTCCCATAGGGCGGTGCACAATTGGCCTAGCGTCGTCCGGGTTTGGCCGGTGTAGGCCGTCATTATAAATAAGAATGTGTTCATAACTGACTTGCCTAGTTAAATAAAGGTTAAAAAAAATTTTTACAAATTACAAAAAAAATACGTTGTGTTTCGATGTGTAGCATATTAACAACTTTATAGCCTATTGTTTTATTGGTTTTTACTTTCCTAAAACAATAATTGTCCACCTCAGGGTTCAGATGTTAGAGATATGAGCGCTAAATGCATTAGGGCATTGCATGCATGCATATAAGCCTATAGGCCTAGGCGTCTACTGTATGATATTGATTTTTAAAAAAGGAATATAAAGGAAGAGAAGTTTAGGCCTAGCCCTAGAGAGGCGGATGGAAAGATAGAGATATGCCGGCGCCATGTTCCCGACATGCATTCTTTATCCTTGTCAGATAGGCTACTACTGTTATACAGATGTAGGCCTATAGAAGGAGGCAAATTCGTTAATTTTCTATCCGAATATTTTTAAACTAAAGATAAGCATTATGTTGTTAGATTAAAAGAGTAACTCTGGTAGGCCTAAAACATTGTTCTTCGCCTCAAGCTCAACTGTCGAAGTCAGTTGGAGCTCCGGTGCGCTCTGCCTTCATAGGCCTGCAGTAGCTAAGCCATACCACACCAAACCTTCACAAAAGTTTCTTAACTTTATTAGGGTAATATCAAAAATAAGTCAAGTCATTGCTCATTGTTTAAGGGGGAAATACAAACAGGTTATTATATTGCGACATTAAATTACGTTTTGCATCTCGCCCTCTGGTTTGACCTTTTCATGGTTTGAGTGCGAGTAGCCCTATAGCAGGCCTACCGGTAATTATATTACACGATATATTCAAAAGTATGAGGACACCCCTTCAAATGAGTGGATTCGGCTATTTCAGCCACACATAAATACAATGCTCCAAAAAATAAAGGGAACACTAAAATAACACATCCTAGATCTGAATGAATGAAATAATCTTATTAAATACTTTTTTCTTTACATAGTTGAATGTGCTGACAACAAAATCACGCAAAAATTATCAATGGAAATCAAATGTATTAACCCATGGAGGTCTGGATTTGGAGTCACCCTCAAAATTAAAGTGGAAAACCATACTACAGGCTGATCCAACTTTGATGTAATGTCCTTAAAACAAGTCAAAATGAGGCTCAGTAGTGTGTGTGGCCTCCACGTGCCTGTATGACCTCCCTACAACGCCTGGGCATGCTCCTGATAAGGTGGCGGATGATCTCCTGAGGGATCTCCTCCCAGACCTGGACTAAAGCATCCACCAACTCCTGGACAGTCTGTGGTGCAACGTGGCGTTGGTGGATGGAGCGAGACATGATGTCCCAGATGTGCTCAATTGGATTCAGGTCTGGGGAACGGGCGGGCCAGTCCATAGCATCAATGCCTTCCTCTTGCAGGAACTGCTGACACACTCCAGCCACATGAGGTCTAGCATTGTCTTGCATTAGGAGGAACCCAGGGCCAACCGCACCAGCATATGGTCTCACAAGGGGTCTGAGGATCTCATCTCGGTACCTAATGGCAGTCAGGCTACCACTGGCGAGCACATGGAGGGCTGTGCGGCCCCCCAAAGAAATGCCACCCCGCACCATGACTGACCCACCGCCAAACCGGTCATGCTGGAGGATGTTGCAGGCAGCAGAACGTTCTCCACGGCGTCTCCAGACTCTGTCACGTCTGTCACATGTGCTCGGTGTGAATCTGCTTTCATCTGTGAAGAGCACAAGGCGCCAGTGGCGAATTTGCCAATCTTGGTGTTCTTTGGCAAATGCCAAACGTCCTGCACAGTGTTGGGCTGTAAGCACAACCCCCACCTGTGGACGTCGGGCCCTCATACCACCCTCATGGAGTCTGTTTCTGACCGTTTGAGCAGACACATGCACATTTGTGGCCTGCTGGAGGTCATTTT